ATGGGGGGGTCCCCGAGTGGGGCAGCCCCTCAGGGCAGGGCTGGCATCGTGGCACAGGGGCTGCGCCCCTACCCGGGGGTCTGCCTTGGCAAGGTGAGCCAGGATAAGGGAAACCTGCCCCAGGAGAAGATCCTTTTGGGATCTGCCATGGTGGCAGCCAGGGAGTCGGCAGCAATGCGGTCTGGGCATGATGGAGCAAGCCCAGCCCTGGGGCCAGCTGGGAGCTGGGGGGGCTCTGGCCAGCCCTGCCCGTGCATGGCCGATGGCGAGCAGCACCTTGTTTGCATCTCGACAGGCCCGTTCGGTTCCCAGCTGGAGCCATTACCCTCGGGTTTGGTAGCTGCTGAGCCCCCTCCCCTAGCTCAGCCTGCAGCTGAAGGCCAGCACCAAGCACCCCGTTAATAACCCCTGGGGCGTGCATGGGGACAGGGGTGTCACTGGGTCAGAGCAGGGGGGTACCTGGCTCCCATGTCATGCTTTCCCCCGCTCTGCGTCCCTGCAGGAGTACCTGGACGTGCTGGGCAGACCGATGGTCCTGGCCGGGAACCGAGCCAAGCAGGTTCAGTGGACCAACGTCTACCAGGATGCCCTGGTGAGGACCCCAGCCCTGGGGTGCGCGGGGGGACGCCGGCCCCAGGGTGCTGCACAGCACATGCCCTCATCTCCCTTGCCGGGGGTAACTCCTCTCTGCTGCCCAGCCCCAGCTGTGGGTCCTGGGGCCAGTAAGGGGCCACAGGGCACCTTTCTGTGCTTGTGCAGGGGCTGGGCCTGGTGGTGACGGGCACGCTGCCGGTGTTCAACCTGACGGAGGACAGCAGTGACAGGAAGGTAGGAGACTGTGGCTGCGCTGACTGCACTGGGACCCCCGGGTCTGGGGCTGGGTGCCCCAACGCTGGGCACGTGGCTGGGGGAGTGGGGGACACTGGCATCCCTGGGGTGCTACCTGCTCTGCACCCCCTCCCTGGGGTGAGACCGGCGTGACTGCTATCCCCGGGACCCAAATGGCCTTGGCTAGCTCTCCCAGTTCAATGGGGACAGCCGGCAGCTGCAAGTCCCTGGGAGATGCAGTATTTCATGGAAGGCTACTGGGGGGCTGGCACATCCCACCCTGTGCCCCTGTGGTGTCCGATCTGACCCACACGTCCCTGGAGGGAGAAGAGGTCCATCCCCGTTTCCCCGTCGCCATGCTGTCGGTGGCAGGTGGCAGCCCTGCTCCCACCCGCCTCCCGCCCTGCGCTTCCTTCCAGAACCAGCTCATCCTGGGCGTGATGGGGATCGACGTGGCTCTCAACGACATCAAGAGGCTGACGCCGCGATACAACGTGCGTGGGGGCCCTTTCCCCTCCGTCCCTGCCCTGCGCTGTCCAAGCCCGGCATGGGGAGCCCGCTGCGGGGAGCCCCAGGCTGTGCCCCCCAGCACCCCATAGCACCTCCAGCAGCGCTGGCGGTAGCAGGGTGCAGAGCCATGATGCAGGCAGGGACCGGGGCAGGCAGGTGGGCAGGGATCAGAGCCGGGTGATGCTGGGTGATGGACCTGGAGCCAAAACCCTTGTAAGGGTCAGCAGGGAATAAACCTTACAAGCCTGGAAGAAGGGGCAGCAGGCAAAATCCAGAGCCGGGGTGAGAGGTGCTGTTGGCCTGAGAATAGAAATAGATGGATAGAAAAGGCTGAGCCTTGGCGGGGGGGGGCGAGGGCGTGGGGCGAGCTCTGCCTGCAGAGGTGAGGGTGATCGCACTGGCATGGCATGGCACACCGTAGAGCCGCCTGGCCAGCCTCATCCCTCCTCTCCTCCTGCAGCTGGGGGCAAACGGTTATGTCTTCGCCATCGACCTGAACGGCTACGTCCTGCTGCACCCCAACCTGCAGCCCCAGGTGAGGAGGGGCCCGTCGGGGCGGCAGCAGCAGGGGTTAGCCAGGCCCTGTGGGACATGCAGCTTCCTGGGGTCGTTAGGAGCTAATTGTGGGAATTGTGATGAGTTTGTCTGGACTCAGCAGCAGCTGCAGGAGCCCTGAGCCCTTCCCCGGCTCTCCCTTTCTGCCTGCAGATCATCAATTTCCGTGAGCCGGTGACGCTGGACTTCCTGGATGCTGAGCTGGAGGATGAGAACAAGGAGGAGGTGGGCAGACCCAAGGGCAGCTCTCGGGGTACAGGCCTGAGATCTGCAGCTGCAAAGGGCACTTGGCCCCTCCA